ATAAATATATATATATATATAAATAATTGAGGGCCCTAAGTCGGTGATGTGGCATTCGCAAAAAACAGCAATTGAATTTTCTCCGCTTCAGATTTTCTTGCAATTTAAACCGCAAATTACAGAACCAAAACGCTTCACATACCCAACTGCTTACCCGCACCGCTTCGAAAAAACCTTCTGCAAACGTTCAACCCCGTTTTCCCTGTTCAATTTCCCCCAGACCTCTAACATTGTGAATTAATTTCTATAAACTCAACTACATTCGCCTTCTTTGTCTATTTCTTATTTGGGGTAAACGAAAAAAATAAAGAAGTTATCGATATGCTTACACAAATTCTATTTCCTTCGACGCCAATGAAGACATCCGAAGAACACCATCACTCGACCACTGTTTCAGGTATTCGCTCCATAATTGCTGGTATGTAATCCTTTCACAGTTTAGTATTTATCATTTATGTCTTATTCTTATATATTTCACTCTTACTAACTTGTATGAACCCTAATCTAATTGTATAGGTACGGATAAACAAGTATGCAAAAACACAAACAAAAGTATGAGGTACAATCCAAACCNTATATTAAAGGAATAAGGTTATCATATATAATTAACATTGTGGTTGTCAAGTGGCAAACTATTAAAAAGCCACTTGGCGTTCTTAAAGTGAGTTTAGGGGGAGATTTTCAATTAAAAAAATAGAACTTATATGAAATCACATTTAATAGATTTTTTTTTTAAATTTAGTTTTGTCTCTTACATGACAATCTTCAACTCAATTTTGTTATGGATCTTTAATTGTTTTATTTTCGGCTAAGTAGTTTCATTTGTCCAGACAAATATGAAAAAAGAAAAAGTAAGGATTTATTAACATAATTAAAATTGTATCAATTTACTATAAAGATGCAAATGTCATATAGAATACTATAATTATGGCAACAAAAAAAAAAAGAAGAGAAAAGACAAATTCATCGAAACATTCATGGATATAAAAAGCTAAATTACTTAAACAAAAAGGAAGACGAAATAAATAAAATTATATGAACTGTTAAAAAAAAGAAGAAGAGTAAATTGCTCTTCCACATAGTGTTTTTGAAAAGATAATAAATAAATAATACTCAAAAATATTATTGATAAGTTTAATTTGAGTAATAGCATAAAAGAACACAAGAATAAAAATAGATGAAAATTTTTATTACAAGAAAAAAAATACCAAAAATATTGTTATAATGAGAGTAGTGGAACAACAACAACAACAACAACAACAACAAACCCAGTAGTTTCCCACAAATGGGGTTTGGGGAGGATAATATGTACTGTCACGACCCAAAATCTACTATAGGCCGTGATGACGCCTAACACCGCCGTCAGGCAAGGCAACTGTGATTAACCAACTTAGTTACTCATTTCAGTATCTTTAAAATCATAAATTTCATTAAATAAATAGAGTAAAATCTGGTACTCGTAGAGCACCCGTGATTTTTATTTATCAATTTCTATATAAAGTATAAATTATAAGATAAAATGATAATAATTACGTGACTACAATAATGAACACCCAAAATCCGGTGTCATAAGTGCATGAGCATCTACTAAGAAATATAATAAAATACATCTGTCTGGAATACAAGTTAGACAAGAGAATATAAGTAACTTTGATGGAGACTCTGTATGCTGCAGATCGTAACGCGCCTCTGCGCCCAAAAGACCACTAGATATATATATACCTGCATAATAAGTGCAGAAGTGCATGAGTACGTAAATCAATGCAAATCCAGTAAGTATCTAGCCTAACCCCGGAGAAGTAGTGACGAGGGGCCGACATCGACACTTACTAGTGGTCCAATATATCAAGTGCAATAGAAGGTAAACAAGTATGAGGCATGGTAAAAGTAAATAAACAGTGTAAACAGATATAGGTACGTGGTACGATCCTCCTCTGAACAGTAAATACAAGCTCTTAGTTATCGGTCACCTCCTCCACTAGAGTATATATGTAAAATGGTCCCCACCAGATAGATCGTCATACCTCAAATCAGGAAAGCTCACATATACGATGGCTTTTTGTCAAATATTACGCACGATGCTGCCGAGGCGAACAACCCGATCCCATAAGATTGTTTCATAAAGCTACCGAGGCGAACGACTCGATCCCATAAGAGTATTTATAGAAATGCCAAGACGAACGACCCGATCCCATAATAATATGTACATTGCCGAGGGTCGAACGACACGAACCATAGATGCATCTATTATACTGCCGATGCGAACAACCCGCTCCCATGAGAATATGATACTTTAACGAGTCCTTGACCCCACTCACGAAGATACGTGTGAGTTATGAAATGAAAAGAAGCTTTTAAATGAAAACGCACAATGTGAGAGAATTTCGTAAGGGAAACACAATTATTCCGTGGCTAATCAAGTAGCTCGTCAAATCTCTACAATAGCGAGTCTATCACTCTACGCAAGCCTAGTCTCAGTTTGTATCGCGAAATAAGGGAATTATACAGGCAAGGAAAACTCAAATAATACAATTAAAGCATGGCGTGAACCTAAGTCTACCCGGACATAATCAGGAACTCTAGCATACGCACGGACACTCGTCACCTCATACGTGCGCAGATCCCACAACATGTAGCATACAACAAGAAAAACACCTACGAGGTAAATTCCCCCTCACAGGGTTAGATAGGAGACTTACCTCGCTCCGAAGTTCCATAACCGGCTCCAACGCCTCTCTAAAACCTTAGACCAAAAGCCCATCGGTTCGAAACTAGCCAAATAATGTGCAAATCAATAAAAAATATACTAAAATGCTTATAATTAATCAATTTATAACAATTCCCAACTCTGCTCAAAGAGTCAATAAAGTCAACCCTCAGGCCCACGTATCTTGATTCCGAAATTTTTTGAAGATAAACTTTACCCATAACATTACGAACTCAAATACATATTTTATTCCTAACTTCACTTCCAAAATTGTGGTCAAAATCCGAAATACCAATTCTAGGTTTTCTCTTAAAATCCCAAAATTCCTACAATTTTCTATGTATTTACAAGCCTAAATTTGTATATTTAACTCACAACTTGTAGAAATTACTTACCTCATGATAGGCGATGAAAATGGCGCTCCAAAATCGCTCCAAGGCCGACTCCCATGGAATAAATGAAATGAAAATGAGCCAAACCCACGTACTTATCAAGGCCCTCTGCCCAACGATCATCACACCTGCGGTCACTTGACTGCACTTCGGTCCCGTAGGTGAGGCCAAAATTTCGCTTCTGTGGTTCCCTTAAGGCCTCCCCTCCTCCGCATTTGCGGTCAAGCACATGCGAAGGCGCACCTGCGCCCGTTCCTCCGCTTCTGCGGAAATACCTCCCCTTCCCCTATTTCGCTTCTGCGACCAACAACCCGCACCTGCGAGCTTGCAGGTGCGGTGGATTCCTCACACTTGTAAATCCAGCCAACCTTACTCCCCTCCGCTTCTACGACCCCTTTGGCCGCTTCTGCGAGCTCGCACCTGCGGCCCTTTCCATGCATGTGCTATTGCAGCATATCTCAGCTGCCTCAGCAATTCTTCCAAGTCCAAACTAGATCCGTTTCCCATCCGATTCGCACCCGAGGCCCCCGGGAACCCATCCAAACATACCAACATATCCCAAAACACGATATGGACATAGTCGAAACCTCAAACCACGTCAAACAATATGAAAACTACGAATTAATGATCGAAACCTTTATTTAAACTTTCAAACATTCAAATTTCGCCGAACGCGTCCGAATTATACTTAAACATTCCGGAATAACGCCAAATTTTTCGTGCAAGTCACAAATCACGATACGAACCTATTCCAAGGCTTGGAACTTCAAACGGACATCGATACACTAAAATTCATTTCAAATCAAACATAATAAATTCTTAAACTTTCAAAATGCCAACCTTCCATAATAGACGCCGAAATGCTCCCGGACCACCCGATACTCAACCCGATCATACGCCTAAGTCTGAAATCATCATACGAACCTATTGGAACCTTTAAATCCTGATTCAAGGTCGTTTACTCAAAAGTCAAACCTTAGTCAACTCTTCCAACTTAAAGCTTCCGAATTGAGAAGTTTTCTTCCGAAACCACTCCGAACTTCCCGAAATTCAATTCCGACTATGCGTACAAGTCATAGAATATGAAGTGAAGCTACTCAAGGTCTCAAACCGC